AGAAAAGCAGAGAAGGGACGCGCCCTTTATCACACTCACCGGGACAATGCTCCTGGCATGCAGAGCCCAGGTCCAGGATGGGCAGTGCCCTGTAATGTGCAGGACAGGCTCCCACCCCCTGTGAAGACTGATCTGCCTGACTCTGAAGAGCACTCGCTTTGTGAAAAGGCAGCATCAGTCCCTTGAGAGGCTCTGTGGGGCGGGCGACATTACACCATCCAGACTGGCTCCGATCCTGACATGCAGGAGGTGAGTCAGGTGACTCATCAAGACAGGGCAGAGATGAAAACAACAACAAGAAAGAGAGGATTTGGGGGGCTTAAAAAAGATTTAGAGTGAAAGAGAAGATTGTTCTAGAAAGTAGCTGCCATCATTGTAGAGCAATGTTTCTCAAACTCTTTAGACCAAGACTGATTTACATCAGTCAACCCAGACATATCTCTCTCTCTCTCTCTCTCTCTCTCTCTCTCTCTCTCTCTCTCACACACACACACACACACACACACGTGTGACTAAGCAAAAGTTTCACAAACAATACTTACCATAATGATTTTCTCCGACATGTCCTGTTCTACCCTCGAAACTGATTTTACAACTTACTAAGTGCATCTCACTTCCTGCTAAAGACACTAACTAGAAAAGAGTATATTAAAGATGAAAAATGGGATAATGTGTGATGTTGATAAGCATGCAGGGAAATGAGCCCTCTCGCATATTACTCGTGAGGGTGAAAATTAATGCAGTTCCATCGACGGGCCATGGCTGTCCTTACCAGTATTTTAAATGCATGTGCCTTTGCTTCAGCAATTCCACTTCCAGAAATTTATTACAGATTTCTTCACACATGTGCCCACAGATGGATATAAAAGAATAGTCGCTGTAACATTTTTTCTTGTGATATAGATCAGAAACAAGATAAATGCCCATCATTGATCTGGTAAACAAATGAGGCAAGTTCACATAAACTGAAATGGAACAAAGTCCAAGCTGTAACATACAGGGAAATTAGGAGCAATATGTTGACCACTGCTAGGCTGAATGAATGATGCACGCACCAGAATATATCACACTGTCCTCCGCTTCTGAGATGTTCAAATTTTCCCATAGTTAAAAAATTAAAAAGACAAGCGTCTAAAATATGTTCAGGGTGTCATCATTTGTGTTTAATTGGATTTGCTATAATGGGCAAGAGGGTACATCAGAGAATGGAATGGAGGTAGTAAGTGCCTTTGGCACGGAAACCTGAGAACAGAAGGAAGAAGGAGTATCCTCACCTTATATCCTTTTCTCCATTTTCATTTGTAACCATGGCTACCTGTGATCTATGGGTGTATTTACAATTAAAAATAAGACAGAAATAAAACTGGTTTGCCAACCTCAACAAGGATAAACACAAGTCTACTGGAAATCGAAAGAATCAAAACAAGACCAACAAACAAGCCAATTCGAAAAGAAAATATTCCCAGCTCTGACCCTTCCATACCCCATCTTATGAAAAAGTCTTTGGGGGTTTGCTGAGCAACCAAGTTTTTAAAAATGGAATTGTGTTCAATTACGTTTTCCTGTCAAGTTGTTACTTCTTTGAACTGACACAGAAAAAGGCTGGTCCACATGGGATCCCAATTATACGCAGGTTATGCAAGACAAGATTTAAAGCTACTTGGTGAATATCCTCACTTTAAGAATGCAGACTATGGGCCTCCCTGGTGGTGCAAGGGGTTAAGTCTCAGCACTGTGAAGCTATCCATAGCCACTGCAGCACGAGTTCAATCCCCGAGCAGGGGGCTGCCCCACAACAGTGCAGCAGACCTCTCCTGTCTCATCCACTGCTCCCCTCAGCAGTGTATTTCAGTAGATATGCCTGTTCTGCTCCCCAGTCTGTCTCTGGTGAATCCTCTCACCTCCACACCTCTGGCCTGGACCCCAGCTCTTGTATGCATAAATAAATAAATCCTTACAAAAAATGAAGACTATGATACACTCACTGCATTTCCCAGTCTCTACCTGACAAGATGGTCACTGCATGTCTCTCTTTCTCTCTCCCTCTTCCCATCTCCCCCCCGCCCCTCCAATAAGAACACAGGAAGAGAGTTACTGCCTGGGAGCCAGTTGTGGGCTCTCGCCAGGAACCAAATCAGCCAGCATCTTAGTCTTGGACTTCCACCCTTCCAGAACTATGAGAAATAAATGTGCCATTTAAGCCCCAGAGATTATCGGACTTATTAAAGCAGTCCAAACTGACTGCTAGAAATACCACAAAGCTATTCATATAATAAATAAATGTACTGGCATGAAAGAACTTCAATATATACTGTTGGGTGGAAACAGGGAGCTGTGGTTATAATATTACAGTGTTCTGAGATCACGTAAAATACACATTCATATAAATACATTCATACACATTCATTCACAAAATTGTAGAAAATTATCTGGAAATAAAAGCACCTTATAAATGATAGAATATTTCAGGAGCATGGGGTTTATAGTCAAAGAGGATGTTCATTTTCTTTGCAAATTTTAGTTTTTTGTAAAGGTGTATTTCTGCATTACTTATATATTTCACAGTGTATCCCCCCAAATGGTTTGGAAAGAATAACCTGGCCATATGATTCATCAACTCAGAGATCTTTCTAGAATCCAGGTTCTAAAATCTGCTTCCCGATCTAAGATGTCTTTCCACTACCATTTAGTTCTCCATCTTAATTTTGAAACCAATAAAAATTACATGCGCCCACTCAAGAGCAAATAACACAGGACTTGCAGTCCCACCAGACACCAATGAGCAGATAATGTTTTTATGCACTGAACGAAACATGGTTAGATCTCAGCAAGGTTAGCGAAGGCAATTAATTTCAAAGCCCTCCAACTGACAGCGATACACAAATTAGCTTCCACGTCCACTTTAGGAAACTCATTTCATTACAGGGAAGAATTCAGTAGGGGGGTTGTGATGACTTTTAAAGAAGAAGAGGATTCACTTCAAAGTGAGATGAAACTAGTTTCTAGAACAACCTCATAATTACACCACAAGGACAATGTTTACCTCTAAAACCAACATCCAATAGCTGTTGGAAAGAAGAAGAAGAAGCCTCAAAGAGGTGTTGGGCTGAAATCTGCATGACACACCAACGGGAGGGAAATTAAAAGATTAAAGTTTGGGGAAGTTTATTATTAACTAAATCTAATATTTATTTATTTGGATAAAAAATACTGAGTACTGACTGTGCCAGATACTGTGCTGGGCACAAGACATATGAAAATCCTGCCTTCATAGAGCTGATATTCTGGCAATAAACAAGCACTACCATAACAGGCAGGGGGTTAGGGGGTAAGTACCACATCACCTGCCCAATTTTCCTTGCCTTGTAAGCCCCATTTCCTTACCTGCCCCCCCCCTTTTCCCTGGGGACACTTCCTAATAAGACTTGTCACATCAGTTGTGTTCCAGGTCTGCTCCCAGGAGCCACACCCAGCCAGAAGGTGAGCTGGAAAGTCACGTCATCCTCACAATCGCTCATGTTAACTGAGCACTTACTATGTGCCCAGAAGGTTTTATAAGCACTTCGCCCCTTTTAGTTCATGGGCTTCATTCCACCACCGCAGGGCAGGGGCTGATATCAAGCCCAATTTGCAGTGAAGTGACTCCAGATCTACTCCCACTCCCTGCTTGGGTCATAAATCATCTCCACCATGAGCCCATAATTCAACCACTGAGATTCCTTTCCCTCAAAGGAAGGGCTGTTAGTGTTGCAATGTCAAACTTCACCTTGAAAGATAAGAAGCGGTGCCGTATGTCGGAGGCATCAGTTGCTTTTATCTGTCTAGCATCCGACGTTTCTTGGGGAATTACGCATTCTCAGTCCCCATGGTTTCCCAAGGAATTAGCACGCGACCCAAACCTAGTTAATCAGCATCCTTGGCCTTAGTCCATGCTTAGTTTAATCTTCCTGGTCAGACTAGACTAAGCATGGACACATGACTGAAACTGGTCCAGTGAGAGGCAAGGCTGAAATCTCTCAGGACCATTAAATGGAAAAGAGCTCTCTTTCTCCCGGTGTGGTCACAGGGGTCGGAGGTAACTGTGGATGAACACCTTGCCACTATCAAGAATGAGGTCAACACAGGTTCTTGTCATCAGCTTTGTCGTGGGTGACGGGAAATTGGCCTCGTCCCTGTTCTCCGCATCTCGGTTTCTTCTGCTTCGCCACGTCCTCAAGTTTTTTCAGGAGCAGCTGAAAACCCTAGGAGGACAGAAGTGAAATACCACCCCCAACACACAACTGTGCAAGGATAGATACCAGCTAATTATTGTGGATATGCTTTGTCAAGATCAGCTCAGGGGCTGAAAACGCTGCACCCTGCAGAGCCATGGAGGGCTGTACTCAGGAACAGAGGGAACTCCAGAGACTGTGTGAGGCAGGCTTTGCATCTCCTCCATCAAGAGGTGGAGATGCCCTTTGACTTCCTCGGGAGAAGGTGAATGGCTAATGGTTTGTCAGAAGCAAACAGAAAGCCAGAATTCTGCCCCAAAGAGTAATAAACACAGACACAAAAGAAGTGACAGATCTTAAAACAATCTCTACCCAACACACATTGTCTGGAAACACTGGAACACCCGGATCCTACAAACAAAGCGTATCACCAACAGCCAACCACTTCCATTGGCCTTAATAGGCCCACACCTGATTTCAGTAAGCACTGCTTGAAAAACCCGGAGGAAATTTGGCAAAGGAACAATGTGGCAACCAGCCACAGATAGACCCAGTAATTCCAAAGCATAAACTCCCAAGAAACCACAGATCTCTCACTAGCCATTCACCTAGTGGTTTCAAACCAAGACAAAAAGCAGACGCCCAAGAAGTACTCCAAGACTCAGCAACCATAACTACCGCAACCTGCTCATAACAACAACCGATTTTCAAAATTGAAAGATTCTTTCAACAATGGGATGCAATGCACTAGCATTCTGAATGAATAAAAAACAAAACTTGGTTACTTACAGTTGTGGAAACGAGAAGTTCACGAGGCAGGGCCTAGGAGGTCTCTGCACCATGGACAGGATAACAGCAACTGAACTTTGGGGATGAGGTGGGGTTAAATAGGTTTCACTGCTTCCTGTAATTGGCTAATTTGCATAATTATGCAGGCTCAGGGGCTTAAAGGGGCTGATCCTAATTATCTAGTACCCTGTCTTGGGATCATTGTTGGGGGGGGGTGCATCTTGACACGGGGGTTTGAGAGCCCCATAAAGAAAGTGGTTGTGTATGTGTAGGGTAAGGAAAAATGTCAGGCTTTTCTGCCCTCCCGCCATTAGGATAGATGATGGATCCTTGCGGTCCTGAATGCATGCCTGACGGCGGGCACCTGGAGCAGGGTGTGGGCCTAGGTAGATGGGATTCACCTGGGCTGAGACTGGGCTTTTAAGGGCGGCGTCACGGGGACGCCAGCAGCAGCTGAAAGAGAAGCCGAAAGAGAAGCTGAAGAGAAGCCAAGAAGCAGCAGAATGAACAGAAGAGCAGAGAAGCAGAGAGAAGGCCAGAGAGCCCAGATAGAGTGAGGATTTGCTGGGGGCCGGGAGGATTGCCATCCTCCTGGCCCCTCAGCACCCCTGCCTGATGTGTACTGGGTAAATCCCAATAAAAAGACCTGCAAAAAGCCAAAAAAAAAAAAAAGAATGAGGTCAACACAAAGGGAAATGGATCTGAGGGAAAGAGAAAGCCCTGACGGTTTCATCTGAGTTCCTCGATCCAGCCATACCTGAAGTCAACAATAATAGCACCTTCAGTTATTTGAACAAATAAACTTTTCTGCTTCGGTGGCTTTATTTGAGCTTTCTGTCCCTTGACTGATAAGACAAGGAAAGGCAGAGGAAGTAGAATCTGCAAGAAGTAGGAAAAAGAGCTGCGCGTTCAAGGAACCACAAATAGTTTGATGTACTTGTGAAGGAGGGATTGGGATTGTCTAATTATTTTATTGATGAGAATACTAAGGCTCAGAGGTTGAGTCACCTGCTAAGCTCACACAATTTGGAATATGAATTTTGAATCCAAGAAGTTTTTTTGCTGAGTAGTCATTTGAGTTACAGAACAAAAAGAAGTAAATAGAAAGAATCCAAATATTGAGTCTTCAATATATAACCAAACTGTAAATGGCTCTGACCGTGGTTTCCCTTTGGATGACAAGGCCTTGGAGGGCATAGCTGTGGGCACAGGTCCCCGTAGCGAACAGACTTCTACCCATCGCTGGGTAAGCATCAGTACCCAAGCTATCATTAGGGTGTCAGTACCAGGTAGATGGGGATCCCTCATGGGCTCAGGTGACATGGATGTGCTAAGGAGGCAAAGCTCATGAAAGGAGTCCCTGTTGAGTGTAGAACTTGAACTGCAAGAAGAAGGAGCAGCCACCAGCTCTTTCACTACCAGCCCTACCCCCAGAACCCCCTGAGACAGCACCTTTCCTGAGATTGCGACCCCCTCCTGCAGGTACGGCAATGGACAGTCCCCTCATCTCCCCAAACCACAGAGTGAACCACAGGGGGTGCATATGCTGTTACTTTTGGAGAAGGTAGATGGGAGTTCATTCTGAAATCCTTCCCTTGCCCACCCACCATGCTTCCTCGAGTTCTTGGAACATGCACGTGCATGCATGTGCGCGCGCGCATACACACACATGAATCTCTGTCATGCAAATGATGCCCATTCTTCAAAACTCCCTGAAATACTACTTTGTGGTTAGCCTTCCTTACTGGTTCCAAACTGGAACAACCTTCCTTGTCTCAACACCAAAAGTCAGCCACTGGGAAGAAACCAGGGCCCAAGAGATGACAGGACCTGAGTCCACATGGCACAGAAGCATCAAAGTCACAACTAAGTTCCAAGCCTCAGAATCCCCATTGCAGACCAGCTCTCTTCCATGAGATCTGCGGCTCTAACCATCTGTGTGCCTTTGCTGGACACTTTTTATGGCCTTAAATACCTTCTAACTGGAGAAGGCAGATCACACTCAGCACATCAGTACTGGTTGGTGAATAATGGTGGCGTGGAGCACGGTACTGAGAGGATGCAGAGGGTCAGCGGGTCAGGCTCAGTGCAAGAGTGGTGAGTGATGTCTGTGATGGACACCTTGGAAAGTGACACGCACACCAGGCATTCGCCATCTTTTTCTCCCTTGCGGAAGCCCCTCCCGGATGTCCCAGGCAGAACAAGCTGCCCCTTGTTGTGGATTCCCAAACCACTTCATGCATATCTGAGAACTTCTCACATGTGTCCACACTGTTTTGCTTGTCTCTCCCACTAGGCGGGGAGTTGCTTGAGGTCACTAACATTTGTGCATCTGCAGCGCCTCGTTCAGGGCCTGGCCAAAGTGGGTTCTTGATCACTATCTGAATGTTGCATTATTCAGACTTATTAATTATAACTTCGTAAGTGTATATCTACTTTAAATAAGTATTTTTTACGATTTATTTATGCATTCAAGAACTGGGGTGTAGGCTAGAGGTACAGGGGGTGAGAGGGTTCACCAGAGAGAGGAGAGCAGAACAGGCGGATCTACTGAAATACACTGCTGAGGGGAGCAGCGGGGAGACAGGAGAGGTCTGCTGTGCCATGTGGGTAGCTCCCTGGCCGGGGATCAAACTCATGTTGCAGTGGCTGGTGATAGCTTGATAGTGCTGAGACTTTACCCCTTGCGCCACCAAGAAGGCCCTCTTTAAATAAGTTTTATGAGAGCTGGCATCATATAGCACTGTGCTGAACACACATTTAATCTACTCTAATCTAATTTGCTCTCAGTACTGGTGTGCTTACCACATGCCAGGTGCTATGATAGGAGCTTCTATGTCTCTCCTGCACCCCGCAAAGTAGCCATTAACCCCATTTTACACATGAGGACACTGAGTCTCAGAGATTGCATGGCTCATAGGCAGCAGATCTTGGATTTAAATGTGGGTCTCTAGGATGGCAATTCTAGCTGGCTGGTCACCACAGTGATAAAGCAGTGGTCAGGGGAGGCAGAGAGAATGCCTGTGTTCAGTATCTGGAAACTGATGTGGTGCCCAGGGTGTCACATTCAGTCTTATTAAATGGGGTGTTTTCACCCCATTTAGAGCCTCTCTGGGGTGACCATCAAGGTCTGAGCCATGAGCGTACACTGCCCAGAATTGGTCCAGCCTGATGACATGCAGAAGCTGAAAACAGGGGCCCCTGTAAATAGATGGTGTTCTCAGCTGGCTCCCAGTGACTTCCCTGTCCTGGGAGGGAGAAGCGATGGTGCCTGCTGAGCTGCTGTGCCAGAGTGCAGCAGCAGGACAGCGGGCACCAAGGCAGGCAGGTGGTGGCTGTGATTCTGCCGGAGAATTAAGAGAATAGCCCAGTGCCACACCACCCAGAGGCAAGGGGTTTGTCTGCACCCATTACCCAAACTGGCCTTGTGGGGTGTTGTGCCTAGCTCCCTTCTTCCACTGAAGGCCATGCAGTGGTGTGGAGGAGCCATGAAGAAGGTGCACCAGGGCCAGGAGACTGAGGTTCAAATCCCAGTTTGCCACCAAAGGGCTGCATGACCTTGGGAGCCCTTCAACTCCATCCTCTCACCATCAGGGAGGCAGAAGACAAGCTGAGTGTTCTCAATGGGGGGCCAAGTGAATACCTGGGGTCCCCATAGCTTGAGCAAAGGCTACGCAGACAAGAGAGGCAACTGACATCACTGCAATGGAACCATCTCTGAGAGGGAATGGGCGAGTGAGCTTCCCACCCTGCGCCACTCCCAGGCAGCCCCGGGCACCCTCAGCTCTTTGGCTGCTTCCTTGGGCCTCGTGACCTCAGTCCCTTGCAGAGTTGTCCACCAGGACTGGCATGGAAATCTGAGATCCTGGGCTTTTTATCCAAGAACACAATGAACACCACCGCCATGCCAAATCTATTCTGGCTTCTGCCAGCTTGGATTCGGGACAGTGAGCCGAGGTATTCAGCGCCTCCCCTCTTGAAATTCATCTTCTTTCACTCATTTGTTTATACAGCAAATATGTGTTGAGGGAATCAATAAGAAAAACATCATCTAACAGAGAAATGGTTGAGGGGTAATGAATAAACAGTTTGTAGCAAACACAAACGACTTAAGCATTTGGAAAGATGCTCAAGCTCACGCAAAACACAGGAATGCAAGCTACGCTGAGATACCACTTCCCCGCCAGGTTGGCAAAAATCCAAAAGGTTAATAACACACTGTGCTGGCAAGGCTGTGAGGAAATAGGTATTCTCGAGCGCAGCCGGGAGGAGCGATCTGCAGCATAATTTGACAATATCTATCAAAATTATGAATGCACATCTTCTTTGACACAGCAATTCCGCTTCTGGGAATTTATCCTCCGGAGATGTTTGGACTTGTACAAAATGATGTATGTGCAGGGCTACTCACTGCAGCATTGTAAGAGCAAAACATGCGGAACAATCTAGATGCCTTTGAATAGGAGACTCGTTAAATAAATAAGGGGATATGCAAACAATGACATTCTATGAGATTTATTTAAGACTGAGATCTGGCACTAGTCGTTGATCTAGAAAGGTCTCTCTGCTACATTGGCAACTAGCAAGACACAGAGGAACACGGCTACACCATTCCCTCAATAATGCTGCCTAACAAGCCACCCCCAAACTGAAACAGAATATTATTCAGCAATCAAAAAAGATAAACTCATGCCATTTGCAGCAACATGGATGAGCTGGAAGGGATTATGCTCAGTGAAATAAGCCAGAAGGAAAAAGAAAAATATTGGATGGTTTCACTTACAGGAGGATTGTAGGAGAACCAAATAAGGGAGCAGGGAAAAAATAATACATAAACAAAAGGAAAAGGGATGAAAATGGGGCTGGGGGAAGAGCACAAGGGAGTATGGTGACAGTGCACGGGTGAATTGGTGGTGGGAACTTTACAGGAACTACACCTGCGAGGAGAAAGCATGCACCGTACAAAAATGAATGATGTTGTAAAATATGTATATATAAATGAGCATGATTTTTTTAAGTGAATTCATTCTCATGCTGATGGAACTGAGGGCTGG